CAGACTAGACCCATTTTTGTTTCCAGCATGCTTCTCCCTGTGCATATTAACAGCACAGCAATGGTTCTGTCTTCCCAACAGCTCAGTTAGGCTCAGTTCTCTGCCAACACAGCTGTACATTCTTATTCCCTTTGGCTGTAATTGTTTTAACTACCTTTTCTGATTTAACTCACTCAAGTTTGTTGCACACAGCAATGGCAAGACTAGAAATCCATATATCCATATTAAAAAAGGTTTCCTCTAAGTAGATGTAATCAATTACTAGCTCATCACAACTGAGCTGCTCAGATGAGACAAATACCAATCAAACTATGTGCAGCTACTTAACTAGTTTTCAAAGGTTAGTTATCCATTTCCAATAGCTTGGCAGCTGGGGTGCCCTATGCAACTGCTACCTCCATTACTTGCAACATTAGTAGGATAATAACCCTTGGTTTCTATACAGTGCTCAATGTTCACTCAGAATTTAAGTGCCCTGTTGGGCAAGGTTTATCTACAACTTATTCTACACATGCGATGTATGGTGCTGTGATTGGGTGTGGGATATTTGCCTCCTCAAGCTGAGACACAAACTTGTTATCAACATCAACATGTATCATTACTATTATTGAGTTAATGTCCATGGAAGTTCACCTCTTTTACAAGCCATTAACACTGCAAGCTTTAGTTCAGACTTAAAATGCTCCTGGATTTAAGGCTCACCTTCAGTTTTTAATACACAGGAGAGCAAACTGAGTTTGATCTCTGAAGGAGGTTAACTAGTTCCTAGACTGGTTTCAACATGCATGTTTTGATTTACCCACATCTCAGTCAGTTACTTTATGATTTTCTTCCACTTGCCCCCAGCGATATTCAGGGCAACAAACAGCCTGCGTCCTGAACACCAACAGTGCTAAGAGAGCTCCAGTTGCACAGGATGTATCACTGGCTCTGATGTAAATGGCAGAAAGGAGATAACTGGATTCCCAGTCCTAAGAATGTAATGGTGAAAAATCCAGCTTTCAACTCAAACTGAACCATTGATGCTGAAAAATGCACCGAGATAGGTTAAGTACTTAATATCTAAATCCCAACAATCTCTCATTTACTAGAACACCAAACTGTCTCTTTTTCCCTACAGTCAATTTAAATAACCTAAATACCACACAGAAAGCAAGATTCAAGTGGCTTTACACTACAAGTTTGTAGAACTTCATTCCAGGAACCCATTTGTCATCTCTGTGTATACTAGGACCCCAAAAACTCTGCTTATTATGTCATTTTTTATTATTGTTTAAAAAAAAAAGCCCCCTTATCTACAAAACTATCATCTGAATTTCATTCATCTTTGTGTGTGGCTGAACAGAGAGAAAGCAGCATCCACTGAACTGCTGACAAGCATCTGCAACACTTTCTTGTTAACAATTTAAACCATAGTGACTTTGAGTTGGAAAACCAGCTCCAAAAATTTGTTTTAGTGGAAAGAAGCCTTCTCCACCTCTCTTACCTTGCCCTACTATGCATCAAAGCCAAATGTGATGAGAAGGTACCCACGTACATTGTCATTGGAGTTTTCTGAAGACATTCTACATGCTTGAGATGTTCACCACTCTTGAGGATGACCTCTCAAAGTGATCACAAATAAAGTATGTTTTAAGACCACATGATGGTCTTCTAGCCAACTACATGCAAGATTGCAAATGCAAATTAGAACAGAACAGACATACAGCATTGAGTTAATTATGTAGAGTTCCAGAAGCAGTACAGGAAGCATCACTACCAAGCGATAACATAGCTCTGCTGCCACTTTGGCTGCTGGAGTGTTTTTTTGCAGGCTGGATGAAGGAGCAAGTAATATATTTGCATTAATACAGAATTGTATTCCCATAACTGTTTTCAGAAAGATTGAAGCTCATTAATCACTCACATACATAAACAGTACAGAGAATTAACAGATTAATTTCAACAGAAAGCAAGACACAAGAAACTACTGTCCCAATTCAGGCAGCACGTCTGCATGCCAACAATCTTATGTTCTCTATAAACAGCCATTCAGGTTTTCATAGCATCTGTATTTTGTCTGTGCTGCCTCCTACTAATACCCTATTTAGTCACTGGCAGCTTGCTGGAAAAATCTGAAAGGAGATATTTACTTTTTTTTTTAGTTATGTAAAGTTTTCATAACTACAACACCTTATATTGTAAGTTTAGAGCCTCCAGATGTTTCATTAGATTTAGAAATAAGCTGAAATATAGGAGAAGAGAATTAACTTATTCTTGCAAAAAGTACACAAAACCCCCTTTTGTCCTAAAAAACTAATTGCTTCCTGCTACTTATTCCTCAGCTACAGACCATCTCAATGTGACAGCAGAATTTGCACAAAGGTTTGATGCCGTGGAGGACAGCAGCTTTTACAAATAGCATGTGGTGAACAGAAGCAGGGAGACGAAGAAGGTGCAAAGGCTCTTTTCGAGAAAGCATTGTTGGATGCTTTCCATTAAAAAGATTTAGCTGAGGCCCAAAAAATGGGGTTGAGAGTTAGCCATCTAACTCTTCTGATTCCAGCTCCCACTCCTGCACCCTTGTAAAACCATTGCCCTATCTCAAGTTTTCCTTCATCTGTTAGTTCAGCTCAACTCATTTAACAGCAGTGAAATTTTTAAAATACAGAGTTGATTCAGAGGTGCTTACCAGTGACCCAATTTAACACTATTTCTCTATTTGTCTTCCACATTTAACAACTCTTACCAGCCTCACTCTACTCCTCATTTACTCTTAGTCAAACCAACTGCAGGCTGTGGTCCTCCAGAGCCCCAACTGCAATTCCACAGAGTCCAAATAGAAGTTTTTTAGCCAAATCCCTTAAATGAGGAAGAAACTTTGTCATGCTACCACTAAGCAGCTGCTCAATTCACCCAACTGAACATTTGCCAACTTCATCCACAGAAAATCCTACAAAGTAATATTATCTCTAAATCCTTCAGGCAATTAAAAAAAAAATGCATGACTGGGAAACAGGACTGTGCAGAAAATGAACAGAGAAGCACTTTCATGCAGGGATCATCCTATGAGGTGCTCATCCCAGCTGAAGGCTAACTTAGATGCTTAGAAAGCCTTAGAACAGTTTCACAAGACCTGTAGCTGAGAAACCTTTCTGAATATGAGCAGACAGAGCTTTGGCTATCCAGCTGTTATATCCAGCACTTCTGAGAAGCACTACAGTTCGTACAGAAATCAAACGTACAGAGGCTTCTTTGAAATGACACAGCTTTCAAACAGCAAACCCACTTATTTTCTCAATAGGAAGAGCGGCTAGGAATTTTGGTATTCCTTAGCACCAAATTAGCAGGATGTAGCCTGACATGCATTTTAAGCAACACAGCAACAAAAAAAAGGCCTTTTGAGTTTAAGATTTTTTTTTTTTGTGAAATTGGTTCCTGATCTGTTCACCTTTCAGCTCTGAGGGACCTTGCTGGCATAATAGCAGAACAGCCTGGAGTGGAAGTTCCTTCCATTCTCCTGGCTTGAACGACTATCGCAGTGTAGCCTCAGAAAGGGGCAAAAATGCCTTAGCTTGAATATTGCAAACAGAAATCAGTTACACATTCCTTGCTTCCCACTTCATTAAGCAAAACAGATACTGGAAGAAACCCAAAACAAGCAACGCCTGAGCAGACCACAGACTGCTGGCAAATCATCAGCTAGAAAGAGCTCAAACAGTCACTTTTAAGATGACAGTGAGACCCAGCCCTTTTGCACAACTTTTTGTGTAGTTTGAAGCTTGCTTAATATCTGTTGACGAGAACAGCACTGGGGACAACAGGTACAGGTATCTCACATGGACCACACAGAAGCACTCGGTGCTAGCAGAGATACGGGCTGCTGCCTGGCTGCACTTGCCTCAGCGACGATCTCCCTATTGAGCAGCCACCACCACCAATTGCTGGCACTAACCCTGTTCCCAGATAATGTAAACAAGTTGAATGAAACCTGTTATAAGGGCAGAACTGTTAAGTCATTTCTCCAGCAAGCTTTTTCACTGTTGGGAGTTATCTGTCAGGTTAGTTGGTCAGATGACCCACGTTCGCAAGCAACCGCAGTTCTTCAGTGTACACCACCACCTTGTGGCCAGATGCCTGGAACTCCCGAAACTGAAGATATTCCGCAGTTTGAATTCTAAGAGCCTCGGAACGCCACGGACAGATCCTCAAATTACATGTCATCCTGTGTGAGCTGCTCACAATCTTGTTAATTAGCGGCGAAGAGGGAAAAGTACCCTACGTGCTAAGTGCTCTACCATTTCAGTTTCAAGGCAGCTTACCCACCATAAGTGTGAGCTATTTATATTTAATTCATGCTGTAACCAAAGAAAACTGCAACCTACTAGACAAATAAGACACAAGAGTTTGTATTTTTGACTTTGAATGCATCAAGACTAATACAGATTTCCCCTTTCTTACTTTCATAATGAAAAAGGAAAACTAAGACAATAAAGACTAATATGCTGAATTTCTTCTCCTGGTGCATTAAGTCTACTGATCTTAAAAACTGCCTCTAACTCCCCAAGTAAAAAGGTATTTACTTTAGCTGATGGGCAAACAACAAATTATACTAGAGATGAAAATCAAAAGCATTGCCCCTGCAGTAAACTGCACACAAGACTGTAAAAATACACAGCAAAATACTCTGAAAGCAATCTAAAAAGTGGGCAAATAACAAAGGACAGACAATGGGGAAGAAAAACAATGCAGCTAGAGAAGCTACACAGAACAAAAATCAAGACAATACTGTGTCTCAGATAGGACTAAGATGACTTACCTCTACCTGGAAATCGCTTATACTGTCATTAGGCAGATCAGCCAAGTAGGACAGTAAATCTGTTTATTGCTCCAGAAATTTCAAGTCTATATGAACTAACAGATAATTATGGATGCGTCAACTGAATGAGTTAACTGTCAAAGTGACAATGAGGCTCTGTTTGGCTTCCCCCTTCCACACGCTTACTGTTATAAAGACTCACCAACAGTTGTACCATCTTCACCCATAATGCACTTCATGGAGGTGATGATTTGCTCCACAACAGGAGGTGACATTGATGTTGCATACACAGCACTGTGAGAGTATGTCCTGAGGTAATCAATCAGTTCCTAGCAAAACACAAGAGGCATCAGATGTTGCATTCCCAGCATTTGGATAAATGTTGTGTCTTGTCTTAATTACAGAGTAGAAATGGCCACCACAAGAAACCTCTTTCAGAACACCACAGAAGAGAACAGGTAGCTTGAGGATTGATTTAACATTACAAGTAACAAACAGTTGAAAAGCGAACACCAGGGACATGACAACCCATAATTATGTCACAGGACAAGAAACCATGTTGATCAAACACAAATGCCTACGCCAGACTTAGCTCACACCACCAGCATTGGATTGCAACAAGGGGTTTGCATTACTCAAACCGTGCACAGGCCATGTTTCAAGAGTGTTTATTATAACAGTAGGAGTACAAAACAAATGAAATAATGGGGAGCAGGAGCCATAGGTGCTTATTTGTCATGCTCAATATAATTGTTTCCCCACAAAAGTCACCAAACAGGTGAACAGTTCATAAAATATTTTCTCCCATTTATCAGCACAACATAAATAAAGCAGCAGGTGCAATTTAAGAGTGCAAGAACCTCAGCCTACCCCTCCTGCATTTCCCAGTTTAACATACCCACTACACTTGTTAGAGGGCAAAAGCAGGTCATAGACAAACAAAGGACCAACACACCATAGATCTTGGCTGTTAGCTGTAACAAAACCACTCTAAAATACCCAGACCATTCCAGCAAAATAGTATAAAGACCAGCATGAATGCCAGGACACATTCTGCCTTCTACTACCATAAAATTAATAATGATGGCACCTTAGATAGAACAAGCCAGGAACATATTATAGAAATATGTGGAAGTGCTCAATTTTATGTTGCTCTCTGCCTGGAGTCAGAGTTGAATTAAAGGAAGTTGTAAACAGACTTTGAAATAAACCTGGTAAGAAGATTTAAGGCCTTTTACCTCTGAAGTAATCCCTCAAACAGAAGCTAAAACACGGTTGTGAAGGACTCTTAGCGGCTTCACCTTACACCAAGGAAGTTAATCCCACTGGCTCACTACCTTTGGAAAATGACTAATATGGATTAATTTTTTCTGGGGAAGATGTCTGAGTAATTTTAGTTCAACTGTAGTAAATTCCCAAAGAGGAACATCCACAAACCCCCATCTTTGCTTGGATGGGCTGAAGTAATTGTCACCACTATTATCTAAAAAATTACTGTCCTGGTAGGAAAATGGTAGAATTTTACTTTCAAATAAAGCTTAGAAGCCTCATCTGTGCAATTCGAGCACATGAGAAAGGGGGGACGTACGCAATTGCCTACATCATCCCTCCCAAAAGGAGGGGTTTGGTTTGGCAAGGGCAACACTTTCTAATGGTACTTTTCAATAGAAGACAGTCAGTAGCCCCCTCAAAAAAAAAAAAAAAAAAAAAAAAAAAAAAAAAAAAAAAAAAAAAAAAAAAAAAAAAAAAAAAAAAAAAGAAAATGGACAAGTGGAGAAGTGTCTTTAGAAAGCAAACTGCTTGAATCAACTCTACCCAACTCACATAAGAAGGGAAATTTCCTCCAAACAGGCTGAAAAACTTCAGCTTTTGGCATTTTTCCTGCAAGTCTCATTAAAAGTAACATTTAAGAAAGCCCTGCTTCCTGGCTCCTAGCAGTTCCTAAAAAGGTATTACACTGCTACTGTACATTCCGCAAACTGAGATCATTGCTGACCACGTGTAAACTATACAATTATGAGGTATTTTACCAGACTAGGCTATTCTGCATTGCACAGACTTCCACTGTACTAGACAGTACGTAAAATTATGAAACAAACAGACAATCAAGGTACTTAAGAAATAGATCAACTTTGAAATCCTTAGTGAAGGACTCTACCACCAGCCTGAAACAGCCATAAGATTCTCAGCTTTTTACCTTCTTGCCCCCAATGTATCCTCCAGCAGCTCCAAAGCTCTTGGTGAATGTCCCCATCATAACATCCACATCTTCAGGATTGAGTCCAAAATACTCCACTACACCCCGGCCAGTGGGACCCAGGGCACCTATACTATGAGCCTCATCAAGGTATAGATAGGATTTGTACTTCTTCTTTAGGGCAATCACTTCAGGCAAACGGACTATGGATCCCTCCATACTGTTGAGAAACAGAAATTCAGTGTGAGTTGATTTAATGGTTGGGGCCTCCTTATAGCACCTAAAGTCACTAAGCTTTCTTTTCTTCACTCTTTCAGTAATTATGAAAACATAAAAATTGCTAGACACATTGTGTTCTGCAGAGATAACCCCCCCCTTGCAACTCTACTTTCCCAGATCTCTACTTTCTACTTGTTTAACATCTCTGGGATGCTGACATATAGGTTAAATAGTAGCAGCAATGGTAAGTGAAGGCAAAGGAATGTGTTCAGTGACAATTTTTTAAATGAATTATCTCATTTTTACTTCCACCCTAACGTCAGCATTCTGATCTGACATCTACTTACCTGCTGTTTTTAAGAACTGACTAGGCTCTCATTGGTAGCACTCCAAAACATCCCATTTTGTGCTGGAAATCACTATGATTTAAATGCCTAACACAGCTAAGCCTACTACATGCTCCTATTCACTCTCAGCTCAAACATTCAGTTTGTGCAATTCTATTCACACTAGCATCATCTAGTGAGCACAGAAAGAATGGAATGGACAAGCAATTTAAGACCTCAGCTCTGATGTCAATAATCAGTTTAGATTAATCAATTTCTACAATCTAATCAGGATGTAGGAAGCATTGTGATAGCACCAGGTGCAGCTACAGGACTAGCAACAGAAAGTCCAGGATGTGAGACATACACAGCTCAATTTAATTCGCAGATGAGATTAATGAAATAACTATGAAGTGACAATATTCATAGTTTGATTTGGCAAAGGAACCCAAATACTAAGCAGCTAGATCTCACGTGGAGGGTCTTAGGAATACAAAGAATAGTTTGTACCTGTATATTCCTTCCACCAAGATAAGAATTTTTTTCCAGGGCCTCCGTGTACGAGGTTGCCCATGCACAATAGCATCTTTGAGCAGCTTCTCCAGGCTTTGCATATCTGCACCAGAAATTACTGTTAAATGGTACCAAAACAGCTACTAGCTTGAGCTTTGACATGACTAAAGACAGCAATACTCCAGAAATGCACAAATTGCTCCAGTGTGGAAGACAGACCATACATAAGTCAATAAGCATGGGCTTCATCTAGTTGCAGGCCCACAGATGAGATTAAAGGGAATGGGTGACTGTATGAACTCCAAGGAAGAATTTCATCATCCTAAGCTAAAAGCACAAGTTAGAGCATTAGGCATAAACAGCAAACAAGGAAGGAAAAAAAACACCAAAACAAACCAAAAAAACAAAGGAGGAAGGTATCTTATTGTGAAGAAAAGAGAAAGCAAGTTAGGTAGTAAGCATGTCCTATGGATAGAAATAACTAAAGAAAGAACAAGCAAGCTCAAGGATAATCAACTAAAGATAAGTAGAAGATAGACCAGAGTGCAGGACAAGAAGGGGAACAAGTGTACTTATTATTGCTTTGCTTTAAATTGAACGGACTGAAGGTGTGGAACAGGAATCTATTAAACCAAAAACAGAAAAGGAAGAAAAAAGAACCACCAGTGTAGGAAAAGGACAGTGCTCAGAATATCAGAAACTAGGCAGATGAAGTTGTTAGTAGTAATGCATTCTGTAATCTTACTAGCTTTGGCTATGAACACTTGACATGATCCTAGGAGACCTGGCTCGTGAGCAAATAAATACACATTAAATCAGTCCTGAAAAAAACACCCGAGGAAAGGAGTGGAGATGGAAGTAGTCAAACCATAAAAGCCGAAGTGCTGAGCAAGAGACTAGGCATAAACACTAGGGCATGAAAAAGAGCAGGAACGATCATGAAAAGAGGATTGGTAGACTAGGACAGCTGTAGCAGCAAGAGAAGCTTGTGAACTAGAACTAGACTAGAAATTCTACAGCAAAATAGGTGAGTTAATAGACTGTTAGAAGACAGCTAATGTTCAGAAAAAGACAAAGAAGTCAGCAGTTGAGGCCCTGCCTCCAACAAAACTCTCAAGAAAGAAAGGAAAAGTTTAGTGCGGTTACAAACAACAATGGAATATAAACTTCTGATCTCTCAAGAAAGAGGGAAAGACTGGGAATTTGGGTCTGACCTTAATAAAAAGGACAAGCTGCAGAATTAGATAGAAAAAAATTAAGACATTGAACAAGGATTTTAAGGGGGATTTTTCATTTTTTTCCCCATTATTTCTGAAAAGAATATGAACAAAGCCATTAACATCTCAGGAAAACAAAGTGAACTGAGGCAGCATAAAGTATAACAAGAGTTAGATGGAGAACACAAACATAACTATGAGTTGATCATGATCTTGACAGGCCACAATCATTGCTTGCATTTTACCTTCTGATTCTAATCTGCGATTCCATTCTCTTTCACAGATCCCCACCATCTATAACATTTCCACAATATCCCCCAATCTCACCACTGCTAGTTTGTACCACGTTCCCACAGATCATCTATTCTTCCTCATCACACAAGACCTTCTAAGTCCCTCTTGTACCCAGAACTATGTCAACCAGTGCTCTCTGAAATTCTGCAACTGGATGCAATCTTTAGAAGTATGTCTATACAAATGCAGAAGTCGAATGCAAAGCTTTTGTGATCTTGCGCAGCAATCAAGATTTATGAAGAATTAAAAAAAATATATAAAAAAAAAATCACTGAATGTTACAATACACTCTACACTTCTGTAAAGAAAATTATTCAAACAATAGAGAATAAGAAAGAACACAAAAAGAAACAATAAGCACAGCAGAGAATCTACTATAAAGTAGGACAAAAAGGAAAATAACTGCAGCCACCCGAGCTTTGCTGTCACCACCACACACTTCAAAGAGAGCAAAAGAGTCATCGTGATGTCAGAGACATAGAAAGAGTATTAGGAGTGGCTGAAGAATGAAGGTAGTGGCTTTACAAATCAAGGGCAACCAGGTACCTCTTTCACCGAGAATAAAAGAAGAAAACCCTTCAGATTTTTAACCTGAAAATACGTCTAAATATCAGTTCTTTGGAGGAAGCTGAAACTAGCAAAGTGAAAATTCTGCCTATTTTGCAAAGAAATACTTAAAGCACGTAACTCAGTGAAATTAATCTATGCTTCACATCCCAAAAATTCCTTTTGTACTACATCGTACTAATGCATGGTTGTCTAATTTAGCTAGGATATCTGCATTCATAAGCTTTTGTTACTATAACATCATGTCAGCATCTGGTCCTAAAATTAAACTTTTTTACCCTCCAAACTGTAACCTAGACCACTAGAAGATTGCATTACTATGTGACACAGACTGTTAGAACAGTCTAACCACGCTGAGCTATTCAAGTAACAAGAAGCCACGTTAAAACACTAGTGCCCCTAGACTTGGCAAAGGGCAGCGTGTTCCTCTTCACATTCAGAAGATGTAAGCCAGAACAGCTTCAGGATAAAAGTGTTATTAGCTGAGACTGAACATACAAAAAAAAATATCCAATTCAGGATGATTACATTCTCAGTAGCAGCAGTTTTCTGACCTTTCAGATAACCAGCAATTGATTTCCTTGCATGAAATTGGATTTCTAACCATTAGAATATATAAGAGATTGTATCTGATCTACAGCATCTGCAGAAAGGCAGAGTTCACCATCTGATACTTACTGTTGTGCTTAAAGATTCGAATAGTTGCGCCTGACAGTCTTGCTCCAAGCACTAGTGACGCATGATTCAGTTCATCACTCAAAATCAGACAGCCCTGAGTTAGAAGGGGAAAGAGGATGATATTGAAAAGGTTGTTTCACAGCCAGGCATATAATACCTTTCAGCTCAGAACCGCTTAGAAATCATTTAAAAAAGAAAATGAAAACATGTATTTCCAACATAAATGCAGCTAGTCCAGGCAAGACTTGCTAAGAAACAATTTGCAGCCTTACTATGGCAAATAAAAACACACAACTGCTGTTAACTGGAAGAACCACTTAGGTTTCACTTTCCCCAGAAGTCCTGCAGCTGAATCTGCCTCAATATTTCATGTTGATGCTTAGTTCTCATCCTCCCATGCAGCCAGGTAAAACAGAGAGCAGAGCAGCTTGCCGCAGTTCACTCAGCAAGTCTACAGTGGTGCTAGGAAACAGGCCAAATCCTAGATTAAAGACCTTATCACAAAGTTGCACTATTTCTTCTATTAGGAGGTAATCACTGACTAAACCCACCTGTGCTCAGTCATACCAAAGGGACTAATTTTCTTTAATGAAGCACTATTAAGTACTTTGTAGATGGAGGTAACATACAAACAATTTTATACACTGTAGGTATCACAAGTATAAGAATTTACAAAGTGGAAAAATACATAAATGAAATATAGGGGAGATAATTCACTACACAGGGACAAAGAATTCCATTAGGGTAGTAGAATTAGGTTAACAGTGAATCATTTTCACAAAAGACGAAACAGTTCCAGTACTTGCACTATTTTGGTCTGAGCAGGAGCTAAGAGAACATCTATTTTGCATCAGCAGATGTAAACAAAGAGAGCTCTTCCATTTCATTTTCAGATAAGTGAAATAAACGTAGTTTGAGAAGCAGGACATTGAGGCTGCATTATGTACTGTTTTACAGGGCACACAGTAGATATCATCAGACTTTACATTTGACCTTCTTACCCTCAAATAGTTTTTCTACTAGGATTTTGTTCCTTCAAATGAAGGATCTTTCAGCTGTCGCTCAAAGACAATAAATCCTGCATATACCAACTAGCAATTCAGCTGTGTGTCTCATGGACACAGTCAATGTCTCAAGAGCATCAAAATACCTTCAGCCAATGAGCCTGTTAATCAGCCACCATTTCATACACTAATGTGTAGCCTGAGGAAGTAAACCTTAACATGCCAGGCACTCTCCGAGAAAGAGGGCAAGATCTGGACTGCTATTGGTCCCACGGATGCTGTTTCTTCCAAAGATTTTTGCCAAAGTTAGAGATGCACACTGTAGCTTGTAGTTTCCATAGACAATACCTGCAGGGGTTGCCACCGCGGAAAACCAAAACCAAACAAGTAGCTTCCAGCAAACCCAACCAGCAAAATCTTTGTTAGATGAGCTTTTGTCAGTGACTGAAGCCATACCTTGCCAACTAAAGCAGGAATGTTCATAGAGTTGGTTGCAAACCCCATTCCATATGCCATTGCAGATTCCACACCTAGGAATCTGGCAACTAGCTTTTCCAGCTCCTCATGTTTGTCCAAGTTTCCTGCAGATAAAACAAATGAGAAATTTGGAGTGAGAAGCTTTCACTATTGCTACATTCTACAAGAAGAATTTCTACCAACCAGGCTGCTCTTTATATAAGGCCCATGAGGGAACAGTGGGAAAAAAAATAAATATAAAAACACAAGTGAGCGAACTGCTGTGCCATGTAAACAAAACCAAGCAAGTCAATTTGTCTTCACTAAAGTAAAAGCTTCTTTATTGATTAGTCTGAGGTTCAAAAGCTGGAACAAGTAATGTTTGAGACCTGAAATCAGATTACAGCCTTTGAAACACACATTTGAGAGACATCCTATCTTGCACAAACTTACCCATCTCCTGCCTAGTGCTGCACACCCCAGCTCCATACTGGGATAAAACTTTAGCTGCTGCTTCTTGGCAAGTCCCAGCCTTCTGTGCAAATCCAAGGTAGTTGTAGGAACCCATATTAATAATGTCCTTTATCACTCTCCCCGTATACCTGTTTTAAAAACACCACGTTAGGACACTCACAATTAAAAAGATTAACTACACCAGAAGATTCTTATTTCAGTTTCTTCGAATATACACTGAAATGTTAAAAACCAACCAATGAATTATTTCAGTACTGCCCCTCAAACTGAAATGATCAGTAAAAAATATGCTTTCTCTATCTTACGGTCTCAAACTAGCTCCCACAAAAGCTTACATTAAAAGGCACATTTGCTATCATATCTAACATTGCTTGAGGCTTCTCAAACCAATTGTTTATTCTCTGGCATGTCCCCCCCTCCATCCCAGAAACACGTAACTTTCTTCTCAATTACAAAATAAGATCTCTAGATCAATTAACTTGGCAGCCCCTCAAGCAGGATATCCTCCAACCACAGAAAGGAAACACATCTGGCACTGCTGTGCTAACAATACGTGACAGAGATTAAGGAAGAAGCTCAGTGGAAAAAACCTTTTAATTATTTTGCCCTTGAAAGCCAAGGAGAGACATGACTAGTTTCACCAAGTACTGTGCTGCAAATCTCTTCACATCGAACTTGTCTTATGTCATCTCCAATTTGTAAAAATCCTTGTCCTTGCATTTCTGATTTTGTTTCTACAGACTACTTCAGTTCTGACTCAAAACAATCTTGTTAAACTCAGTTTCAGGCAGCAGTGTTTACTTCAAGTGTCAGGAATTATTCTAAATCAACACAAAGTCATAAGTAGCAGTGCAATCCAAAGAATCTGCTCCAGGTTCCAGTCATCACACATAGAAGTACTAATTTTATTATAGGTGTATGCCCATGAAATCTTAACACAGTCACGAGCCTTAGTGAGTAGCCAAAAGATAACACAAATAATCACCTCGGTGGCCAGATGTGTTTCAAAAGAGCAAAATTCATTGATTCAAGCTGCTGGAAAGCTCAAAACAAACACAATTCACTACTCCTTTAATCTCACAGCCTGCAACTTGCTCTCATAGTCCCTTCTAAAGATAGTTGTTCGAAGCCTTTTCTTCAATTTTGACTCACGTGAAGGTCCAGTTATAGTCATGGGAAACTCTCTCCATCATGTCCACTTTGGCCCCTGGCACACTGCAGATGGGACGGTTCCAGCTGTCCCGAATGCGCATGTAGAGGTTTCTGTTGTAGAAATTTTCAAAGTCCTGGTACAATGGGACAAAATCCTGAAACACATCATAAGCACTCAAAGTAAATGGAAAATATGTATTACAGCAAGCTAGGAGTATGAGGAATTAGTTGTTTCTGTCATGTGGGTGCAATTTATAAATGAAAAAAAATAAAGAAAATTCAAGAAAAAATTAAGAGTTGTTCATTACAAGCACTGAAACCAATTCAGCCCAAAGAGGTTTCAATCCTTGAAATACGTGCCAGTGCAAAATTATTTGAAGGTGTGACAGCAGCAAAACTGAGGAAATTCATCTTCTAGTGCAAAATCAATCTGCAAGATGTGATTTCCAAACTTTTTCAACCTGCAAATCTACCATGCCCCCAAGATTTCCTCAACAGTAGGTGCTTATTTGTATATAATTTAGGTAGCTTAACCTAAAAGCCATCAACCACAACTAGAAAAAAACCAAACACCACAATCATAGCATTAGGTCATGCTTCGAGTTAGAAAGCCTCAAAGAATGTGTATGAGAGGGAGTGCTGAAAGCAACACAAACTGAATTGGGAGCTCTAATGACACAATGAGGTCTTGTTTGAACTCAAATGGGACTTGAAATACCTTGGCTCTCTTTCCAGCTCCTGCTGGGTAGTTGAGGAGAACATCTCTCAAAACATATAATAACCTCCTTCGTGAAATGCATGGGCATCTAATCTTCGCAAGAGATTTGTATTCAACCATCAGAGTTAAGCAGAGCAAAGGAACATGCAATTGTTTTTTTGGCACCAAACAGTATGCACTCCTCCACCGAATACACAAAGAATGCAACAACTGAGGTATTCTGCCATATTTTATACCGTACATAAGAAATGTATTTAATTTAGTAGCACTAGCATTATTATAGAGGTTACCGTTAGAACTTCCCACAATTTTTTGTTCTGAATCCAAGCTAGGAAGCTACATTACACCTCTCTCCTTCACAGCTTATCAGCTCTTAAGTTCCACAGGATTTCTTTGCATGAGCATTTCCTGAATTCTAGCTTCCCTTCCAACGTTTTTCAGGAAAAGTAAGTGACTGTCTTGAACGGATAACACATGAGAACGCCAAACTAACTGTGACAGCAAGGACGTCTGAGCACTCAAGAACATTTTTTTTTTTTTCTGCCTACTTAAAAGACTCCAAAGTCTTGAGATTTTCTTATTACTATGCAATTAAAAGGAAGTTTGACATTCAGTAGTGACAAGAATGCATAATTCATTTGCTACTGTTGAGGAAAAAAAAAAAGTGCCTTTTTAATAATCTACAAAGGGAAAAAGTAGGATTTATGACAAAGGTAAGAGCCAGCACAGCATTTCTTCCTGTTTTTCACAAGAGAAATACAAACATGGTGAGGAGCATTTTATTTTTGGTGACAGGATAAGCAAGACAGAATGACCAAATATTACAGTGCCTGACATTCGTACCACTGAATCAAAACTGGGAGCATTTATGCCAGCTTTTTAATGACAACTCAAACAAATGGACACTGAAAAGCTTTTATTTACAATGCTCAACTGCAGGAAGAGTACTTTTTTTTTTACCTTCCTATTTTAATGATTTAACAATTTTGTCCTTTCAGTTTGGAGTAAAGGAACCATCTAGATCCACCCCTTTGCATCCTCCTACCAGAAGCCGCACAGTCCAAAACGTGCCAATTTCTATGCGGACATAGTTGCACCTAAGCCCCCTTCTGATTTGCCTGTGCATAGTGACATGATGAAAAGGCAAAGACATTAATTTTCATCATTTGAACTAGGAAAAAAACAAACCAAATTTAGCCAGTGATCACTCCTCCAGAGAATCACAAGTATGTCCTTTCTCAGCAAAGACAGCAGAAACAAGATTTCTATGAGCTAAGACACATGGAAGGGCAATTATTTCTTATACTTTAAAGTGTTCTCCACTTAAGTACAGTGTTGCATTATTTCACATGTACCAAGTCTTCTCTGAAGGTCCTTTGTCAAAAGAGGTTAACAGGGGTAGTAGGTCAGCTACTACAAAGCCATAATCCTCTATAAAATCATTAGTTTTCTGAAGTAGCTATACAGCTCCATCCTTTTTCTATCTCAGTGTCTCATGCTGTTCCTGGCAGAAAGTGGGTTTCAAGGCTGACAAACTGGTCACTTTTACAACAGAGAAAAACATCTGGGTATTGACAAATGCATTCAAGAGCTTCCTCCATCTATGAAAAGTTACACAGCTACAAAGTGGCGATGGGCATGAGAGTATTTGCAGCAATATCCTGAGAAGATCCCAATTTGTGAAACAAATTCAAAATAATTATCTACAAGTATCTGAATCCCTTTGCTACATCATTTGCAAAGGGGTGAAGAAGTGCAAAGATCAAAAAGAAACTGGCACACTGGAAGATCAATACTTGAGGGGCATGTACTTGTTATGCCTAATTATGATCTACTGAGATCCTTTTAAGCATTTTCAACTCCTCTTAACCGTCTTTGTACGAGAATTCAGCTCTGCAGTAGTTATCCAAGCACACTGTGTGAGCCAGGAAACAATTGAGACTTAAGCCAAGGTTCTTGGCTAGGAGCGGAGGCTGGAAATGAGTCATTATACCGACTCAAGCAGGTATGCCTGGGCTGATACAGTCCAATCTCACCTTGGATAACTCATCAGATAAAGCATATTTTATTTTGAAACCCAAGCTGACAAAGCAGGAAGAGTAACAAGCTCCACTGGTGAGATAAAGACAACCACCTCAGCAGGCTGACACCATCAAGAGTTATAACACAAGTATGATTTTACAAGTCAACAATATAACAAAGTTTAAAGCGACTTAACTGTGAAGTAGAGAAGTTCTCTGAACCTAATGATTTATGATAAGGAAAAAAGGTGTCAACAAGAATTCAAGGAATAAACAACTATGGGTAAGGGAACTAAGGCCTAATACAGGACGCTAGTCTTAGATTTTGGGTGTACCAAGCTGTAAGATTATAGCAAGGAGCTCTAAGAGGCATCAGTTTAATGCCAGGCCCTGTGTTGTCCATATCCCCCTCAATATACCACCCTCATCTAACTCTTATGAGAAAGTTCCTTGAAATAGGACAGGCAGGAGGCATTACCTTGGCATAAATCAGAACTGGATTGTCAATTTCCTCAGTAATCCTAACCCCACAAAGAGGTTCTCATGACCCATGCATCTGAGAACACAAAAAAGAGAAATGGTAGGGATATAATGCCTTTTTGGAGTTTGAGAGTGCTCTTTTGGAGCTGGTGTACAAGACTAGATGGTCTGCCTGGTTGGTTTGGGGATTGGTTTTTTTGTTTGTTTGGTGGTGTTGTGTCCACGTCCCCATCCCTCCCCGATCTTTCTCCAGCACAGCATTTCTTCCTGTTTTTCACAAGAGAAATACAAACATGGTGAGGAGCATTTTATTTTTGGTGACAGGATAAGCAAGACAGAATGACCAAATATTACAGTGCCTGACATTCGTACCACTGAATCAAAACTGGGAGCATTTATGCCAGCTTTTTAATGACAACTCAAACAAATGGACACTGAAAAGCTTTTATTTACAATGCTCAACTGCAGGAAGAGTACTTTTTTTTTTACCTTCCTATTTTAATGATTTAACAATTTTGTCCTTTCAGTTTGGAGTAAAGGAACCATCTAGATCCACCCCTTTGCATCCTCCTACCAGAAGCCGCACAGTCCAAAACGTGCCAATTTCTATGCGGACATAGTTGCACCTAAGCCCCCTTCTGATTTGCCTGTGCATAGTGACATGATGAAAAGGCAAAGACATTAATTTTCATCATTTGAACTAGGAAAAAAACAAACCAAATTTAGCCAGTGATCACTCCTCCAGAGAATCACAAGTATGTCCTTTCTCAGCAAAGACAGCAGAAACAAGATTTCTATGAGCTAAGACACATGGAAGGGCAATTATTTCTTATACTTTAAAGTGTTCTCCACTTAAGTACAGTGTTGCATTATTTCACATGTACCAAGTCTTCTCTGAAGGTCCTTTGTCAAAAGAGGTTAACAGGGGTAGTAGGTCAGCTACTACAAAGCCATAATCCTCTATAAAATCATTAGTTTTCTGAAGTAGCTATACAGCTCCATCCTTTTTCTATCTCAGTGTCTCATGCTGTTCCTGGCAGAAAGTGGGTTTCAAGGCTGACAAACTGGTCACTTTTACAACAGAGAAAAACATCTGGGTATTGACAAATGCATTCAAGAGCTTCCTCCATCTATGAAAAGTTACACAGCTACAAAGTGGCGATGGGCATGAGAGTATTTGCAGCAATATCCTGAGAAGATCCCAATTTGTGAAACAAATTCAAAATAATTATCTACAAGTATCTGAATCCCTTTGCTACATCATTTGCAAAGGGGTGAAGAAGTGCAAAGATCAAAAAGAAACTGGCACACTGGAAGATCAATACTTGAGGGGCATGTACTTGTTATGCCTAATTATGATCTACTGAGATCCTTTTAAGCATTTTCAACTCCTCTTAACCGTCTTTGTACGAGAATTCAGCTCTGCAGTAGTTATCCAAGCACACTGTGTGAGCCAGGAAACAATTGAGACTTAAGCCAAGGTTCTTGGCTAGGAGCGGAGGCTGGAAATGAGTCATTATACCGACTCAAGCAGGTATGCCTGGGCTGATACAGTCCAATCTCACCTTGGATAACTCATCAGATAAAGCATATTTTATTTTGAAACCCAAGCTGACAAAGCAGGAAGAGTAACAAGCTCCACTGGTGAGATAAAGACAACCACCTCAGCAGGCTGACACCATCAAGAGTTATAACACAAGTATGATTTTACAAGTCAACAATATAACAAAGTTTAAAGCGACTTAACTGTGAAGTAGAGAAGTTCTCTGAACCTAATGATTTATGATAAGGAAAAAAGGTGTCAACAAGAATTCAAGGAATAAACAACTATGGGTAAGGGAACTAAGGCCTAATACAGGACGCTAGTCTTAGATTTTGGGTGTACCAAGCTGTAAGATTATAGCAAGGAGCTCTAAGAGGCATCAGTTTAATGCCA